CTGTTATTCATAAGATCTCCTTAATGTATATAGTATTTTTGTTTCCTATAGACAGTTAATGTAAATGCCTTTACACAGATTTCAGGTCTTTCTTGTGTCTAAATTTGTTCCTGTTTGTTTGACAGCCTAGTGTAAACTTGAGAGACCTCGGCTTGACCGATATAAATGTGAGTCATTTGGAGGAGTTGGTCAGCAGATTACTGCCTGCACCACAAGAGCCTCTTTCTGCTCCTTCGGCATGGAGGACCAGCCATGTTTCCTCTCACAGCTTTTTCCACAACAAGCATGGTCAGTATTCTGCCAAGAGTCTACTATGAAAGCAGGACCAAGCAGCACCACATATATTTCATACACTTGCTGCATTTGTATTGTATATCTGATTAAGCACACAGGACACAACAAAGAATGTTGTGCTGCTTACTTTTAATTACAATGTATAGCATATTCCTCTGTGTCTTTCACATTGTGGTTATATCTTCAGCCTGACATAGATCTTCCTGCTATTCATGTCAAAATGGTATTCAAATTTCTAATTTGTAACCACAAAGTAAATGGAAAAGTTTGAGGTCAATTTTTTACTACTATATTAGATTTGTTTAAGTTGATACCTGATAGTCATTGTCAATCTTGTCATAACATAAACTGTTTGCAATTTTGTTTTATATTCTCTAACAGGGTTTGCACATAAAAGATTGGGGGTGTTTGGGCAGCCAATTTTGCACAGACAGTATCACAGTCCTATAAAGGATATTTGTTCACAGCTACACTTCCTGCCTGGTGAGAAACACACCAGTCTAGTAATTATTTTAGCATACTATAATTTTTTATTAATTTTACATTGTTTTAATTTCAGTATGGATTCAGAGTCGGGGCTTTAAGACTCTCCGGTCCAGGGCTAGACGATTGGAGTCAGGTTATAACAGCCCAGCTGAGCCAGAGGCCTACACACCAGCCTTTATGAAGGTCAGCAGTGCATGTCACAATTAACCTTTTGATTCCCCATACACTTCGTGCTTATAATAACCCTGACCAAATGATGTTTCAGGAAAATAAAATAAAGTAATATCTTTGCCTCTTTTACAGGGTTTACTTCAGAGAGAAAAGACGCCAGATGTACAATCACTGGATCAGCTGGCGAAACACAAAGGTCTTCCAGACAACCAGCAAGATGCTTTCAAGACTGGCTTTGCTGAGGGATTTCTGAGATCTCAGGCTTTTACACAAAGAACCCAAGGCTAGTGTGAAAAATAGGCAGCAATTTTGTCATATGTTTTTTAATATCAATATAATAGGGTGCTGAGATGCTGACACTCAGCTTGTCTTCTCTGTTTTGACAGACTCACTTAGGAGAACTCGGCTGGTCCTGTTTGTTCTCCTGCTCATTGGCATTTATGGCCTGTCTAGAACCCCGTTTCTCTCGGGTAAAGGGTCCTTTTCTGATGCTGGTTTGTTTCCCTTTACTTCTTTCCTATTTCTCCACTCATCCTATACCAAACCTGTTAGTTGTTATGCTTTCTCACAAAATGAAAAGTCAGTGGGCAGTTGAGTTAATTTTTGAATTGCTAATAACTCCACTCAGTGGTTAGATGACTGTTACTGTGCTAATGTTCAACTATAACTACGCAGAACTTTTCTGTGGTCTGTGCATGGGTATGACTGCTACCATTTTAGATATGAACTTAGCTATTCATGTTTGTCAGGTTTGTATAGAACCTGTTACCTAAATTGTTCTTTCTGGTTTGACAGTGAGGTTCCGCACCACCTCTGGCCTAGACTCTGCTGTTGACCCCATTCAGATGAAGAATGTGACCTTTGAGCATGTCAAAGGAGTGGAGGAGGCAAAAAATGAACTGCAAGATGTTGTTGAGTTTTTGAAGAACCCACAGAAATTCACTGTTCTGGGTGGAAAACTCCCCAAAGGTAAAATAATATTATCAAGCCAATTATAAAAGTCTAAAATAATTCCATATGCTAATGTAAATAGATCTGTTTATTTAAGGTATCCTCCTGGTGGGCCCCCCTGGCACAGGAAAGACCCTCTTAGCTCGAGCTGTAGCTGGAGAGGCAGATGTCCCCTTCTATTATGCCTCTGGTTCAGAGTTTGATGAAATGTTTGTTGGTGTGGGAGCAAGTCGCATCAGGAATCTCTTCAGTAAGTTAATTAGATGTTTTTTTTTTACATTTCCAAAGGTGTACAATTGCTGACCTTAGTGTTTTATGTTTGCTCTTTGCAGAAGAGGCAAAAGCTAATGCTCCCTGTGTAATCTTTATTGACGAGCTGGACAGTGTTGGCGGGAAGAGGATTGAGTCACCTATGCATCCTTACTCCAGACAAACCATCAACCAGCTGCTGGCTGAAATGGATGGGTCAGTTTCTCAGCAGTGTGTTTACATGATTACTGTAAACAAGCTACTTACTGAATTGGAAAGGCTTTTGTTATTCTCAGCTTGTGTTGTGTGTCAGGATGCCAAGAATGGGGTTGTGTTGAGGATATTGATTTTACACAGCTTGTTTGATTCATTATTCCCTCATTTGTTGAATTTGCAGGTTTAAGCCAAATGAGGGTGTCATCGTTATTGGAGCAACTAACTTTGCAGAAGCATTGGATAAGTATGTTCACAATCAATTTTAATGACATAAGCCAAAATCCACTGTAGTACATACCAAAATATTATTGTTCTTTGCTTTATCCAGCCATCCTAACCTTTGTACTTGAAGTTGAACCAAAGCAAAGTTGTGTACTTATGAGCGACAGAGAGGGAAAGATACTTTATTGATTTTAAGGGAAATTCTAGTTTTGCTGCAACTTATACATGTATAATAATTAATCATTTAAAGAAATATACTCTTCTTTCAGTGCTTTGGTGAGACCGGGAAGATTTGACATGCAGGTCACTGTCCCACATCCAGATGTGAAAGGACGCACTGAAATTCTTAACTGGTACTTATCCAAGATCAAAGTGGATACTGGTATGTAGTGGTAATTTTTATTTAATTAGAATACATAATTAAATATACCTTTTGTGGTTGAATTTGACTGAAGAAAGGCAGGAAAGTACAAATCCTACATGATGTACTATTAAAATTTTGACTGACCTTTTGAGGGCTTTGAATTGTAAATGCCGCCATTGTTAATCCTATGCTGTGCTGTTTGTGTGGTTTTAGCTGTAGATGCCGAAATTATTGCCCGTGGCACTGTGGGTTTCTCGGGGGCAGAGCTGGAGAACCTGGTGAACCAAGCCGCCCTGAAGGCAGCTGTGGATGGGAAAGAGATGGTCACAATGAAGGACTTGGAATTCGCTAAAGACAAGTTTCTCATGGGTGAGTGCACACGGCTCTTATCCTGGCTCAAAAGACTTACTGTTACATTAGAGGCATAGGAAACAGGATTATCACATTTTCTATGTATATGTGTTCTCTGTAGGTCCTGAGAGGAGAAGTGTGGAAATAGACAAAAAAAATAAGACAATCACTGCTTACCATGAGTCTGGTCATGCCATTGTGGCCTACTACACAAAAGATGCAATGCCCATCAATAAGGCCACCATGCCCAGAGGGCCTACTCTTGGACATGTAAGCAGATTTAACTGCCTCCAGTTCCCAGTATAATTTGTATTGAAGTGTAAAAGAAAATGATTGTGACCTGTAGGTGTCACTGCTTCCTGAGAATGACCGCTGGAGTGAGACCAGGGCTCAGCTCTTGGCTCAGATGGATGTCAGTATGGGAGGACGAGTAGCTGAGGAGCTCATCTTTGGAAATGAATACATCACCACAGGTGCAAAAACACACAGTGTTTCCATATATTGTAGTATAAACATTATACAACATTTTTATAATGTAGTACATGTACAGTAAAACCTAAAATGCAGAATGAGTAGTTGATATGAATATGTATGAACCTCTGACCTGAAAAGCCAAACCTGCGTCATAATGTCTGACTATATACCACAGTTCAATACAACAGATGTATATCATGGTAAAGTGAATGTTCTAATATTCTCTAGGAGCCTCCAGTGACTTCGATGGAGCTACCAAAATAGCTAAAATGATGGTGACCAGATTTGGAATGAGTGACAAGGTAAACCGTTTTATATAACATCGAAGAGGTATATTGCCCTTGATTCATTTGGTTTATTTATGACTTCATGATAATACTTTTTTCCCCTGCAGCTTGGCGTCATGACCTATGGAGATGTTTCCAAACAGAGCCCTGAGACTCAAGCTGCTATAGAACAGGAAGTTAGAGTTTTGCTGAAGGTACATCATTTCATTTCATTAGTTTTTAGATGTGGTCAGGTATAAAAGTTTAACAATGTTTTGTCTTGTTCCAGGATTCCTACAACCGAGCTAAACACATCCTGAAGACATACAGTAAGGAGCACAAAACACTGGCTGATGCTCTGCTCAGATATGAAACTCTGGATGCTAAAGAGATCCAGATGGTGCTGGAGGGCAAATCCCTGGACCACTGAATACCTCACCTTAATTGACTAGAATATTGTATACTGTGTACATATATAAATATATATATATTCTGCTGTGCAAATGTGCACAGGCCTTTGGGAGGCCTCACATTTTCTGTGTGTATTTTTCTGTCATTACCAAATCTACATTTCCCATTTTATTTTGTTTAGGCTTTTCTTTACATGTATACAGCTGGTTTTAAAGTTATTTGAATGGGCAATAATGGCATCATGAATTTAATTTAAATTTCAGGTCAAAAGCCGTTTTACTTTAAAACATATTGGGTAAATGCAATGATTTTAAAACAGACACAGTACATTATATAATATTATATTAATACACGACTTTCCTTTCTAGACTTCAATACCCAAGACCTTACATACCTCATGTTGAATGTACCATTAAACTCTAGCAGGGTACATGTCGTATCGGATATGCTTGTAGCTTTTTATTTACTTTAAGTGCCCATCAGTGTCATTATTTTCTTACTTAACACCAAGGTTCGAACTTGGAAGGCCATACCCCATAATGATGGACTGTGACAGATAATGTGAGGAAGTAAAGTGTGTATATATTGTAAGTGTGAAGACTTGCCTTCACTCTTGTTTTGGTAGGAGGACTTCTGCAAGCTCAAATAAAGGTTACTCGAACTCTGTGTTGTGACTGCATTGTCTTTTCCTTGAATAAGAATTGTGACCGTACAATTACTAGGCCTATTTTCACGTTCAGGTGAGTGGAACAAGTTAATGAGGCCTATGTCTATAGACCTATTGTACTGCATGGAGAGCTTGACTGAGTGCTTATAAAGACTGGCAGGTTGACAAATGCTGTAGTACTTCACATGCTGACATCCAAGGCAGCAGTAAGGATGAAGTGTATGGACTAAAGTGTTGGAATAATGGATGAGCCTGAGGATTCCATTGCTGTTATTGGAATTGGATGTAACTTTCCTGGTGGTAAGATGAATTTACTAAAACAATACTGAAAAGGATTTATATATTTGCTTACTAAATGTATGTTATTGATATTTAGGTGAAGGGGTAGACAACTTTTGGAGGGTCCTTGTGGAAGGGAGGAACTGTGCAAGTGATATCCCAACAGAAAGGTTCAACTCCACTCTTTGGTATGATCCTGATGATAGCAAACCTGGGAAAACACAAACTCAGAAGGCTGCCTTTATTAATGGGTAAGAAGAACAGCTTTTATGACTGGTAACCTTGATTTAAATATAGACGTATTTCTGTGTATTTTAGATTCTTACTATATATAACCTTCATTGAGACAGTAATTAATAGAGCCCGACCGATATGGATTTTGCTGTGGCCGATATGAAACCAATATAATGGAAGTTGGAGCTGCCGATAGCCAATATAATCACCGATATATTTAGTGATGTAAAAATGCACTGTAAATGTTGAATTGTTTAAAAAACTTAGGTTTGGCTCTGGTGGATTTTAAATTGGGTTTATTTAGGCAACACTTATTGTTATTCTGCCTCTTTACATCATATTTACAGACAGTAGGTTGGCTTAATGGCATTTTTGCATCACATTCTAGACACTAGTGATGGGTATTCCAGTTCTCTTTAGAGAACCGGCTCTTTTGGCTTGGCTCACTAAAAGCTGCTGGTTCTTTTGGCTCCCAAGTGGCTCTTCAGATTGTTTTGTTGCAAGCAGGATTAAAGCACGTCTAAAGCAGGACTGAATCAGGACTGAACCAGGTCTAAACCAGGACTAAAAAAGGACTAAACCGGGACTTATTTATTTTATGCTAAACTACAGTCAAATATGCTCGTTTTTTTGTTTTTAATCCTACGTACACGCAAATTTCTCAAAGTTTCGTTTTTAGCCGCTGCCGCTGTCAAACCACGAGTCTGCACGCGGCGTGAAGAGAAAAAAAGTGAGAAAAAGAAAACACGGCTCCCAATAAGGATCAGGCTCCCGTCGTTCCCTTTAAAGAGCCGGTTCTAAGAGTCATTTCGTTCGCGACGGACCCATAACTAGTAAAGAAAGTAGCGCTATTAGCCTTTAGCCGTAAATACGTGCGCGCCGCGGTAATTAATTATATGCGCAAATGTCATAATTCACAGCTCATTTACATATCAGTGCAGGTCCAGTAGCAAATATACGGCCAATATAGTCACTTTAGAACACACCAATAGAAAACAGTCTGTTTATGTGCGGGAGCTACAGCAGCTAACCCATAACAAATGACAAAAACTAGCTTCAGAGTCGACATATTTCCAACACTCACCGCTCATACAGGCTCCTCCTCACATCACAAATCTGCACTAATAAATGTCCTTTTAATCCAGACTCAAACCGATTGTCCGTAAAAAGAATATAATCTCAGTGTTTGGATCTGTGTCTGCAGGTGTAAACAAACACACGTGAGTGACGCGACTCTGTGGTGTGTTCAGGGACAGTACGGACACACACAGACAAATGACTCCGTAGATAAATACTGATGTGGAGCCACATATTAGGACATTTATCTGTCTGTAAATTGGATTAAATGAACAGAATGTAGAGAGTCTAAGCTTTATAACGAGGTATAACATGCCCACCTGAAATATCGGCCCCTATCAGCAAGCCGATAGCCGATATGCCTAAAGTGGCCCATATCAGCCGATAATATCGGCCAACCGATATATCGGTCGGGCTCTAGTAATTAATATAGCCAGGAATATTTGCACATTACGTAAAAGTAATTAAAAGATTACAGAATCTTATTTTATTAATATTATCTTGGATCAGGTTCATATGTCTCCGAACCCACTTTACTATAATAAATACAGTCAAAGATGGGTAAATTGGTTCTTCAAAATAAAATTACTCAAATTATAAACACAAAGTAATGGTCCTTAGACAGTCTTTATGCTTTGACCCATTCTGATAAAATTGATTATTAAAATATACTTTTCTCTCCTAGATTTAATGAATTTGACCACAAGTTTTTTGGCATCCCTGAAGCAGAGGCTAACTTCATGGACCCTCAGCAAAAACTTCTACTCCACTGCACCTACAGAGCCTTGGAAGATGCTGGGATATCAATGGAGAGCATAAGTGGAAGCCGAACTGGTGTTATAATAGGTAACACGCTGATAGTTACTGTGCAATATATCTTAATATGTATTATTTGTAATATGTTGACAAAAATTAATATGCTTTTTTTGTATCTCAATATTCAGACAAATACGATGTAAATCCAACTGAAATGTGTGATAATATCTCTTTAAATGTATTTGTTGAGGTTTAAATAAAAGACAAATATGATATTACTGTAAAATTACCCACTAAAGAGCAGAAATAGCACTTTTTAAATAAAAGACAAATATGAAATTACTGTAAAATTACCCACTAAAGAGCAGAAATAGCACTTTATACCCTTAATTGGAAGTTAATTGATTGTTATGTATGTGCTATCCTATCCCATTATTAACTTTAGAACAGCTTTGTATAAATATAACTTCAAACATTATGAGGCTTTTTGGGCCAGCTAAGACCAACTACTAGTTTTATTACATCATTTAATATGTCTAACCAAGATATCCGATGTTTGGAAGCTGTTATCCAATCCAGCAAATTTTTCAGAAGCAGCGCTGATATGCGATACCAGTTGGATTGGTGATCCCTAATACAAATTTTGCATAGCTTCAAAACAACCTTCACAGTATAATTGATATTTCAATAATCTGCCCACTTCTAATCCCAGGTCTGATGAATCGAGACTACGAAACTCTTAAAAGTGACAACTGTTCGACTATAAACCACTACAATGCCACTGGAACGGCCATGAGCATCGCTGCCAACAGAATTTCATTCACCTTCAACCTAACTGGGCCTTCCTTTGCAATTGACAGTGCATGTTCTTCATCTCTGGTGGCTTTGCATTTGGCCTGCCAATCTTTGAAACAAGGTAATATGTTCACCAATGGCTATCAGTATCCTACATGTATACTATTGTAAACTGCATCTGTTTTCTTTCAGGGGACTGTGAGATGACTTTCTGTGGTGGGGTTAGCTGTATCATAGAGCCAAGAGTGTTTGTTGCTCTTAGTAAAGCTAAAATGATCTCCCCAGAAGGAATTAGCAAACCCTTTTCCACCAAAGCAGATGGATATGGAAGAGGAGAAGGCTGCGGGGTTGTTCTGCTCAAACCACTGAAAAATGTAAGCATTATCAACAACACATTCTGTACCTAAACAAATGCTAATTATGCTAATGTTTCTTGGTTTCATTAGGCCATTTGTGACTGCAACAAAATATGGGGCGTTATCAGCAAGACAGCGGTAAACCAAGATGGCCACCATGTTAGCCCCATCACCAGGCCTTCAATGTTGCAACAAGAGAAGTTGCTTTGTCAAATCTACTCCAAAGATGACCTGGCAAATGTCCAATACATTGAAGCACATGGGACCGGAACAGCGATAGGAGATCCAACTGAGGCTGGTAGCATCGCAAATGTCATTGCTAAAGCTAAGTCTGCTACAGACATGTTAAAGCTAGGTTCTGTAAAGGGGAACATTGGACACACAGAATCTGCAGCAGGAGTTGCTGGACTTATCAAGGTACTTCTAATGATGAGGCATGAAACTTTTGTACCTTCTTTGTTTTTTTCGGACGAAAATGCTAACATAGATACCAAAACTCTGAAATTGAATATTTTGACTAAAGTTGAAAGATGGGAGACGAATGGGTGTTCAGAAAGGGTTGCTGGGATTAATAGCTTTGGGTTCGGAGGTACAAATGCACATGCGATTGTGAAGGAGTACAAACACAGGTCTATTCCAAAGCAAATACCAAAAACTTGTCCAAAACCCTTTGTAATTTCAGCTGCAACAGAGAAATTGCTACAAGTATCTATTAGCAACATTCAACAAAAACTTAGTAGCAATAATACGATGGACTTGCAAGAGCTGTCATACACTTCAGCTTGTGGACGGAGTCACTCAAAGCATGAATATAGAAAAACACTCTTAGCCACTTCCAGTTCTGAGCTTCAACAACAACTTGCAATAAAAACAAAAGTTGAGTCAACCAAACCAGAAATCAAGGTAGTTTTTGTGTTCTGCGGAAATGGAGTAGCGTACCGAGGGATGTGTAGCCAGCTGCTAAGATTTGAACCAATTTTTAGAGAGAAGATTATGGAAGTTGAGAAAGCTTTCAGTAAATACAAATACATCAACATTAGCCAGAAGTTAGCTGGTGATAACGTAGAGAATGATTTTAGCAGGCCAGATGTGGTGCAGCCACTAGTTTTTGCGCTTCAGGCAGGTATTGTTACACTTCTAAAAGAGTGGGGCATCAAACCTGACATAGTTCTCGGTCACTCTGTTGGTGAGGTGGCAGCTGCTTACTGTTCTGGCCTCTTGTCTCTTGAAGATGCTGTCAAAGTGATATATCATCGAAGTGTTCTTCAGAATACGGTTAGGGGTGGAAAAATGCTTGTTGTTGGTAATGTAGCAATGGAAGATGTCCTAACAGCTCTAGCTGAATTCAAGAATAGTGTCTGCGTAGCTGCTTACAACAGTCCTCAGTCTTGCACTTTGTCTGGGGAGGAAGACGCTATAGATATCTTGCATCAAAAGTTAGCAATCATGTTTGCAGATAGAAATGTGTTTCTCTATTTGTTAGATGTCCCAGCAGCATACCATAGTCCTAAAATGGACCCGATACTAGATCAGATTGAAGGGAGCATTCAATCATTAAAAGCCAACAACAACGAATGCCAACTTTTTTCTACATTGACGGGAAAGAGGAGTTCAGTTGGTGACTTCTGCACAGGAAGCTATTGGGCAAAGAATGTGCGGCAACCTGTATTGTTTACCCAAACCTTGTTAGCAGTAACACAGAATCAGACATCTTTGGAAAATATGGTCTTTTTAGAGATCAGCCCTCGCAAGGTTCTACAGAGAAGCATCCATGAAACTTTAGGAGGACGTCACACTGTTTTATCTTGCACAGAGCCTGAGAAAGATAGCCGAACCATTCTGTCCACTGTTGCAAAGCTTTTTGAGTTGGGTGTAAATGTAGATTGGCATAAAATTTACAAGGGTTGTGAGACAATACCATTAGAGCTCCCAGGCTATCCTTTTCAGACAATGAAGAATGAGATGTGTTTTGAACATCTAAGAAAAGGCAACCAAATATCTAGGTCTTCACATCCTCTTATAAATCCAGGTGAGCATAGTAATATATTTGTGTGCAACCTTTCACTAGCTGCAATGTCATATCTGTGGGAGCACAAAAATAATGGTGCCGCTATTGTACCTGGTTCATTTTATGTTGAGCTGGCTTATGCATCAATTCTATTCAGTGCTAAACCCAAAATGCCAGTATCTTCACTCCAGCTTGGCATAGATTTTCAAACTTTGTGCTACCTTGGTTCAGATAACCTTCAGTTAAAAGTGAAACTTGATCAGTCAGAGAAACAATGTACATTCTATATTGATTCTTCAGTTTCAACACATGCATCTGGTACCTACAGGTGCTCAGATGGAGACCCATTGTTAGAAGAATCAAGCATTTGTCTTGACACAATCTCTCAAAGGTGCACATCTGAAATCAAGAGCAATAAAATGTATTCAACCCTTGGGCAAGCAGGTTTCGAGTATGGTGACATATTCAAACTGCACCATCATGTTTACTATGGGGGTAAATACAAAGAGGCAATAGCCCCAATACAGGTCCCTGAGGAACTTTTGAAAGACTTCCATGAGTACTTCATTCACCCTGTACTACTTGACTATTTTCTACAAATGACTGCAGTTGTGGCTATGCAAGAGTTAACAGCTAAGCAAGGGTACCCAACAGCCATTGATAGCATTGTAATCACAGGACCTCTACAAAAACAAATGCTTATGTATCTAAGAGCATCTAAAGTCAACCCTGATTTTTTGGAGGTATGTGGATGTTTTTCCAACACAGAAGGAAAAGTGCTAGTTGAACTTAAAGGAGTGAGAATCTCATTTATGAATCCTTCTTCCATTGTTCAGCAGTCACTGTTTTTCCACAATGAAACTTTGTCAATCACCTCAGAACAGTCCTCACTAAGCAAGATAAAATGCATCCTTTTTGAAGACAAATTAGGTTTTGCAAAAGCACTCAGACCTTTTTTGGACCCTGAGTCTATTTCTGTGGAGCAAAGACCACACTGGACACCAAAAAGCATCAAAGATCTAGTTTTGACCTCAAAATGCATTCTAAACGATGTCATATTTATGTGGGCTGTAGAGGACCTCAGTCACATGACATCAGAGAAGACATTAGAAGTATTGGTTGATTGTTGTATGCAGTTTCAACAAATTATTTTAGCATTGAAAGATAGTGAGTGGTCCTGTACTGTTCGGGTTGTAACTTACAGATCCAGTGAAGGAACAGTGAATTATATCAGCCCTGGTTTTGTTTTTCATGGACTGACAAGGGCGTGTGCTGCAGAGATACCAGAGCTCACGTTTCAGCTGATTGATCTCACATCTGTTACTAGTGATGACATTGAAGCTCTGGTTTATGTTCTGAATACCTGCACTCAACAAGAAGTTATAATCAAAAATGGTCAGATTAAAACTATGAGAATAGTTCGTACACCTGTGACAGACTTATGCACAAATTCAAATAATGTCCACTCTGTGAATTTAAAAGAGTTCTCACTCTGGACCAGTGATCCTTACAGAATCACCAACCTGTCTGCTTTCCCAAGAGACACCAGTGAAAGTCTTGATCTGGATTCAGGATTTGTTGAAGTTGAACTAACAGATATTTGCATTCATTCTGCTGATTACTTCCCTGTAAGCGCTTCGCAGTTAGAATTTGGTGATACCTTCTATTGGAATAAGCATGTTACACAGAAACACATGCTTCTGGCTTTAGATTTCAGTGGTATTGTTACTGCAGTTGGAAACAATGTCAAAAATCTTAAGGTTGGAGATCACATTGCCTCATGCTATCCGGTAAAATCGTCTTCAAAGGTTAGAATTCCAGAAGCAGCTTGTTTTAGTGTACTTCCATATCTGAAAGAAGCGCCATGTGTTTCATTTTTTGTGTTAGCATGGGAGATTCTACAACGACAGCTAGCTAATGTGAAGATGCAATACAGAAAGTTAACTATTATTTCTTCAAACCCAGCTTCCACCATGATGAAAGTCTTAGCATTGACAGCAAACCGCTCAGGATGGAGTGTTTCATCAGGGTTTGTTTGTAGTACAGAGCATTTAGACAGGAGCCATGCAGTTGTTTTTCTAGCACCATTTGAGGATTCTTGCATTGCAAGTCTTGACCAACATAAAGAAGAAACACACTTTGTTTTTGTCAGCAGTGGGTACAAGTCCTCCTCACCGTCTCTGAACAGGTTTACAGCGAAGTATGACAACATCCATGTACATAGAGTTCATGTTTCTGATGTCCTTCAAAAAGCCAAACTTCAAGCACAAAACAAAATGATCTCAAACTGGTTGGTATCACTTGGATTTGCTGCAGAATCTCTGCCGCTAAAAAGAGAAGAAAATCAATGTATTGAATCCAAAGTGAAGGATAAAAATGCAGAATCCTACTTTACTACAAATGCAATAAAGCAAGTTGCTCTTGCCCGTGGTCAAATGGACTGTCCTATGTTCACCATTCCTGTGCAACCAATGCCAAAACCACTTTTCAAGAAACATAGCATTTACATTGTGACTGGTGGCCTCTCTGGTTTAGGGTGGGAGACAGTGAAATTTATTGCTGAGAATGGAGGAGATTGCATTACAACCCTGTCCAGAAGTAGTCCGTCAGGCAAGATTCAGATAGCAATTGAAGAACTCCAGAAAAGATTCCAAGTTGAAGTCTTGAATCTCCAATGTGATGTTTCAGAGTCATTACAGGTTGACAAAGCCATCTTGAAAATTAAACAGAGGTTCCCATCTTGTCCAGTCAAAGGAGTTTTTCATAGTGCTGTAGTTTTACATGATAGTCTTATAGAAAATCTTAATAGATCACTCTTCCAGAAGGTGCTCCGGCCTAAGGTTTGTGGTGCTTTAAATCTCCATTATGCCACACTCCACTACAAGCTAGACTACTTTGTCTGCTACTCATCTGTTTCTTCTTTCATTGGCAATGCTTCACAGTGTAACTATGCAGCTGCTAACTCTTTTCTTGATATATTCTGTCAGTACAGGAGAACTCTTGGACTTGCTGGACAGTCTATTAACTGGGGTCCTTTAAATCTTGGTCTTCTGCTGAACAAAGACAATTTCCAAAAGTTCTTGACAACAAAGGGGTTGATGGTAATGGATGTTGGTGAGGTTCACGAGGCACTGAAAATGTGTCTTTTGATGGACAGAGTTCAACAAATGATCTGCAAGTTCGATTTCAAGAATCTTCATCAACATGTTCTTTCTCAAAATACGTTTCTCAGAAAGCGACTGTCAGCATTGGTGCAAACTGAACTAAAAGATGTCTTAGAGAGTGAAGCCCCTGTTGTCTGTAGTTCTTCAACTGACAAGCGTGTGAGAAGAATAGTGAGTGATCTTTTTCATGTCAGTGTTGATGAGTTAAATGATAACACATCTCTTTGTTTTTTAGGCATTGACTCAATGTTAGCCATGACTCTGCAGAATAAGGTTTTCCAAGAGACAGGTGTCAGTGTACCTCTGGTCAAAATCTTAGACCCTAAATGCACACTAACAACCCTGATAACTGCTGTTGTGAATGTGAATATGTGACAGCCCAGAAAGAGTATAAATGCACAGTTGTTCTCAATTTTCCTCAATTCAGTTTCAATTCAATTTTATTTTTTCCACAATTTTAAATTATAATCCCACAAAGGCACACATTTATACATATATGTAAATGTGTTCATATCATTGACATTATATATGCCTATATGTGTTAACTGTGAAAAATATTCCCTAGGAAGCTGGGAGTCTTGAGCTTCTTGATTTGATGAAGAATTGTAACTGTAATAGAAAGACACATTTGTTTACATTCTTAAATGTTCTGTTATAAATATGACACATTGAAGTATTTTCATATAAATGCCTAACTACTATGCAATGTAGCTTTTGTTTTAGTTTTTTTCCATTACATTCTGGATTATGTGATATCACTTAAAGGAATATGAAAAAAATGTACAGGTATTGTCAATAAATCATTTTGAATACACTACTACAACATTTTTATTGACTATTTGAACTGCATAACCTGATTTATTTATAACTTTATAATTTAAATGACTATCTTCAGTGGGTTCTGCCAAGTTGTATTATCTAAATCTATTCTCTTGGAATATTAATACTTTCATTTATAGCTATTATATAAATCACAATCAGAAGCATCAGCAAAACACTGATAAGAGCTAACCTTGGACTGTTGAATGGAAAAGGTTGGTAATACAGTATGTGTTTGAGGATGCACAAGTAGAATGCCAGCATGTTTTACATATACATTTTTATTTTGGTAAACATGTCGTATGTAGAATAGATAGAATAGATTTATTTATACCATAATATAAAATAGGAGAAAAGGTATTGATATAACTTTTTAGAAAACACAGATAATTGTACATACATTACATAACAGAATGGCTTTACAATAATATATGAATTCAAACTATACAATTCCAGTACACCAAAAACATCAAAATTATTTGATTTTACAACCTGGTTAAAATTTCATCTGTTTGCAATGCTGGAACAGACTTGGAAATGATTTCCCCTTCATTTCCTTCACTAAGAATGGCAACTACAGTGGAGATTGTTGCATTTGGATCAAGCAACTTCACCAATGGCACATTTAGACCCCTTTCCTGAAAGATCAGATTCTGTAGCGTCATTGCCTGCATCGAGTCAATTCCTAAAGATGAAAGAAATAGGTCATCTTTGAGCTCACTCTTGTCTATGCCAATGGTTTCACTAATTAGAGAGGTCACGTATTCTTTTGGTGACACTGAATGTACTTGTTTCCCCTCTGCTTCCATCTCCTTATTCTTTTGGAATGCCTCTTCAACTAGCGCTGACAACCTCATAGTTAAAGCAGCATTCTGGGAAAGGATATTGTACCTGATATTTCTGAAGTGGAACCTGCAAACAGCCTGTTGAGGTTGGTTTAAGATGAGACATTGCTCCAGGCTCTTATAAATCTCACCTATATCCAATACCATAATTCCCTTTGCTTCCAGAAATCGCTGAAAATGTTCTTTGTTCAAGAGAAGGCCAAGGTTCAGGGCTCCCCAACTGATTGACTGACCTGGTAAGCCAAGTCTACGTCTATACTGACAGAATAGATCAAGAAATGTATTGGCAGCAGCATAATTGGTTTGTGATGCATTACCTAAAAATGCTGAGATGGATGAGTAACACACAAAGTAATCTAACTGGCAGTGTTTTGTGGCATTGTGCAAATTGAGAACACCATTTACTTTAGGCTTGAAAACCTTCTCGTACAAAGACTGGTTAAGTGTTTCGATCAGCCCATCATGCAAAACAACTGCACTGTGAAACACTCCTCGGATTGGACACTCGGGAAACCTCTGTCTGATGGTAAGGACTGCTCTTTGCACATGTTCAGGCACAGAGATGTCACACTCAAGGCTGATGATGCAGTTCCCACACTGGTTTTTGATGTTGTTAATGCCTTGTTGCACTTCAGAGGAAGGCTTACTTCGCGACAGTATAACAACATTCCCACCACCTCTTTGTGAGATGAACTTGACTGTTTCATAGCCTAACCCAGAGAGACCACCTGCTACTATGTACACAGCTCTATTTCTGAAGAGCTTTTTCTTTGATGGCAGCAGTGGTATTTGAGAGTCTTTAACAAGTTCTATTATGCCAATTTTTGGAGTGCTGAAATATGACTGTGGGTTCTCTGAGCCATTCCTTTGGATGATTTCTGATTTAGAGCTTTGAAACGTAAAGCTCTCTACTGTGAACTTTTTGCTGAAATTCAGCGACTTCAGCCACTGCAAAACCTTTGGTTTCTGAGTAGTCAGTGAACCTTTTTGAAGGATAGCTGTCATTTGTAATGTCTGCACATCCACAAGATCATTTAAACTTTGTAATTCATGAGGAGTGGGCAAGAACTGTGATTCACAGATGATGACAACATGTTGAACATTAGGAAAGCTATGAATCTTAGCTATTAATGACTCATGAAATGGAGGTAGGATAATGAATGCATCAAACTTTTTAACATCTACGAATGAGCCATTGTACTGTGTCCCAACAACAACAGAATGACCAGACTGTTTCAAAGCAAAGGTCAAGACTTTGATTAGAACCGAATCAGCCACTGAGCAAATGATTCCTATGTCGTGTTTGGCTTTAGGTAAAACCTTGTGTAAGATTTCCCATGCAAGTACAAAGAAAGAAACACAAGGTGTTTTCTGAAAAAATGGAAAGCGTTTGATGCTATAGCACAGATTTTCTGCTACTCTAATCTTACTACTTGCTGTACATGGAAAACAACATGCAATTTGATCTCCAACCTTCAGTTTCTTGACACTGCCTCCCACTGCAGTTACAGTGCCACTAAAATCAAGAGCAATCACCTTGTGTTTCTGATTTGAGAGCTGGTTCCAGTAAAGTGTTTGGCCAAATTTTAGATGTGAAAGGCTAACAGGGAAGTAATCAGATGAATGCACACAAATGTTGGTTGGCTGAATTTCAACTGAAGTATCACTTAGGTGTTCCTCATCAAAACTCTGAATTGCACTAATGTTAGTTATTCTGTGAGCGTCAGTTGTCTGAAAAATGCAAGGTTCAGACATTGATGAGGAAAACATGGGCTCTGAACTGTTACAAATCTGAGGGGGGGTACGGACAATAGAAGGCTTCATAACCAGTCCATCTTTGACCACTAGTTCTGGGTGCTTACTGCAGGGAAATGATCTTAGAATTTGAGAAAGAGCTGCAATGTCCTCAGCAGAGACAGTGTTTAAGTCAATCAGCTGAAATGAAAGATCTGATATTTCAGCTGAAAAAGATCGAGTCATACCTAAGATAGCAAAGCCAGTGTTGATGTTGTCCACAGTAATTTCTGATGCATGGTAAGTCACTGCTCTAATGGAGTTTGGAAAGTTTATTTTCTTTAGCTCAAGAACAATCTGTCTGAAAATCTCGCAGTAGTTTGCTAAATTTTGCGTGACCGCTTCAGGTGCCGTTGATGTAAGGTTGTCCATGCCCCATAAATACAACACCTCATCAAAGTGTAGCATTTTGCTCTTGATTTTAAGATTATCCAAAAGACAAGGAAAACCATGAGCCAAGATCTGTTCTGCATGTGTGAAAGAAACATAGCAAGACCCTGAGTCCAAGTGTTGTTGTAGGGCCTTGGAGATGCCCATTGAGTCACAGAAGACCAAGGCACGAGGTGGAGGAGTGACTGGAATTGATTCAGAAATTACATTGAAAGCATTCTGGTAGAAGTACTCCTCAACTACATGAGTTTGACTGCCAAGGTACTTTATGGTAACATTCTTGACTTCAACCAAGACTTTACCCTCTTTGTCTGCAAAACAACCACAAACCTCAAAATGATCTAGCCCTATGTCAGTCGCTCTCAGATAGACCACCATCTCATCTTCCAAGGGTTCCATTACTGTAAGGCTGCCTATTTTAGCGGGAAAACCTGGTCTGCCTGCAAAAATGTTCTCCACTGTCACTGGAAGAAGTTGCATGAGATAATCCAAGACCACTGGATGAATACAGTATTCATGCAATTGAGGTCGCAAAGCCTCTGGAACAGTCACAACTGAAATCGCCTCTCTCAGATCTTCTCCATAGTGAACATTGGCTTTATTTTGAAAGACATCTCCATATTTGAAACCTCCAGCTAAAAGGTAACCATAAAATTCCTGATAGCCTACTACAGAGGTGCACCTTTTGTAGATGGACTTTAGTGAAATTCTCTCCTCCTCAATCAACTTATCTTTACTTGAGACTACTGTGCCAGATGCATACATGGCAGATTGAGAGAACACTGAAAAACCTGCTCCTTTTTCAGTTTGATGAAGTTGCACCTTCATTTCTGGCGAGTTTGGCAAAAAAACAAATGGGCTGTGAAAGCTGACACTGACCTGAAGAGATTTGAGTGGGACTTTAGGCTTGGCACTCGCCATGAACGCCGCCAAACCCAACTCTGCATAGAAGGCACCTGGAATAATCGGTATATCATTGTGTCTGTGCTCTTTCAAGTAAAACAAAAAGTCTGACATGAGGTTGGAACTGAAAACGTTGCTTTCACTGCCTTTCTTACAGAGCACTGGGTGGTTACTAGGTGTATTTTCCTGAGCTGCACCAATTATAACATCTCTTTCAGAGGTGTCAAACTGGTACTTGGGGAAATCTAGTGGCACTGTCTCATACCCTTTGTAAAATGTGTCCCAGTCTACCTGAATTCCAAGTTCAAACAACTTTGAAACCACAGATACTGCAGTTTCGTGATCTTTGCCAGGCTGCGCTGACACAAGAACAGTGGTGTCATTACCCAGTGTCTCCATGATATATCTCTGCAAAGCTCTTCTTGGACCTATCTCTAGAAAGACTGTATTCTTTTTCCCTTTGGTGGCTGACCTCACGGCTTGTTCGAAAGCTACCTGCTCTCGTATGTTTCTTGCCCAGTATTCCCCAGAACAAAAGTCACCATCTTGGACTTCCTTTCCTGTCACTGTGGAGAACAATTCAGTGTCAAGTGTATTGACACTTAAAGAGCCTATTTTCTCTTTAATGGATTCAAGAATTGAATCCATCATGTGGCTGTGATAAGCTGCTGAGACATCCAGCACTCTGAGAAAAAGTTTTTGACTTGTATCTGAGGTACTTAAGTCTTTATGAAGGTTCTCAATTGCATCTGCATCCCCTGCAAGAGTGCAAGATTGTGGGCTGTTTGTTGCTGCAAGGGATATTTTACCTGAGTACTGTGAAAGAAGAGGCGTCACATCCGACACGGCCATGTTGCTGACCACTAGCATTTTTCCCCCAGTAACTTTTCTCTGTAGAGAACTACGGTAATAGATGATTTTTACTGCATCTTCAAGTGACAGAAGCCCTGAGCAATGTGCGGCTGCAACTTCTCCAACTGAATGCCCCAAGAT